TTTACCAGCTTGGAGTCCGCTCCATGGGTCTCACGCATTCTTGTAATACACCCTGGTAATAGGAAAAGACTTTATACAGCATATATTTTACAGTATATCTAGTACTTTGTATTTAAAAAGTCATATCTCGATCTTTTCTTAAATGATCATTTACGCAATAAATTGGGTTTTGAATAGAAATTCTATTTTATCAAATACGTAGCATTGGCTCTGTAATGGTCTATTGCTACATAGCAACTTTAAAGCAGGAACTACTAAGCTACATTTAATCTAAGAAGTATTTGTTTATAGAATAGGAAAGATAGAAAGGTGAAACATATTTACATTTTCGCCTCGGCATCCTTTTCTTTTATGCAAATTAACCTATATATGTCCTCTCTCAGATATCTCACATTGACTATAGCTGTGGGTATCTGAAGCAGTTCCCTTCAGATACCCAAAGTAATTACAAACAGGAGAAGAATAATTTGCAGCACTTGTGACATTAAAATACATATATTGTTTCTATGCAGGGCTGAATCATCCTCAACTTTTTACCCTGTATATAAGAGGGAGAATAACAGCCTGACATCCTTTGGGAAGGTAATTCTGAGTTTCAGTAACATTAGCCACAGCTGTATTTCATTATCTCACATTCCACAGAGCAGTATGTCAGCGTGCATGCCAGTTTTGCCTGACCCTTTTTCAGAAAGCATAAAAACATATCAGTCCTTCCATACTGTATTGAAGAAATAAGAGAAATTCAGTTGTTGACATAAAACTGTATTAACTAAGTAACTATTATAACTATTATAAAACTACTACACATTATTGCTGTTGTTATGTTTGCATTAATAGAGATTGTATAGTTATTGTAACTTGAGAACCTTCTAAATAAAATGAACCTCATTACTATTAGAATTTGGGAATACTGTGCATACTAAATCTTCTCCTGATAGGAAGCTGTGGAAAGAGAATCTCTGTTAACCCAAACTGGACTTTTCTCATTTAATAACTCCTTGTGTATTACTAGAATATGGTAATATATTATAGGCAGCTTATTTAAACATAGAAAACATCTTTATTACTCCTTTCCCATTCAGATCTCTGTCTCAACAGCAAAGTGCAGGGACACTCTTGATTGTTATCTGCATGAGTGTTTTCTAATAATTTCTAATAGTAACAACATCCTCTCCTCTGAATAAATGACTTCTTTCCTGATGCCACCAAAATGTTCTTAATTGTGTTTTTGAGGTCGTAGTCGAGGAGATGAACAGACTTGGAATGATAGTGGACCTCTCCCACACCTCGTGGAACACATCCTTTGCTGTTCTGAGTCACTCTAAGGCTCCGGTTATTTTTAGCCATTCCTCTTCCTACTCCATATGTAACCACAGCCGCAATGTTCCTGACAATCTGCTACTTGAACTGGTGAGAAATACAACCTTAAGAGTAATTGCTTGCCTTCTTAACCGCTTGATTAAACAACTGTCTGATCAGTCACATTGATGACTGGCTCATTTTAATTGTGTTTTTATGTGTATATCTAAAGAAGAAAAACTGTCAGACAATTTTTGTAATGGTTATGCGTTTTGTGTATCAACAGCATAAAACATTTATGAACAGATTTCCACCATTAGAAATTATTCAGTTTTCACCCACTAAGAGTTATTGATTTCAATCCTAAGGCCTTATTTGCACAATCAACTTAATGCATTTTTTATGTCTTTATGTCGTTCTGTGTTCTCCATGATTTCCTCAGCCATCTTTAGCTGTTGCCATTTCCCCTTTACTTGCATACACAGACAGGCACCAGAACGTGATCTCACAGGATGAAATAAAAGTACTATAGTGAGGATCTGTTAATGAGAATATCAAATTGTTTACCCTAACAATGATAGTCATTTCCCCCCCTGTACTTTCAAAAAAATGCTTATACTGGTTAATGACAGGCTGATGATCAAGAATTCAAGCTGTGTGTAAGCCTACTGTCAACAGTGTCGGGGTAATTTCAGGCTCTTTTTTAAACTGAGAATATTCTTTCCTTCTTTCTATTTATTAATCAAGTTGAAAAATAAATAGTATCAATACTTACTTCTTGATGCATTCTCAATCATCCAGGAAAATAAATCTCCAAAAGTTGATTCTGTTCATCTGGACGTAACGTTTCTCCCAGAAAACGCTACGTCCAGATGAACAGAATCAACTTTTGGATATCAATACTTACATTTTATCATAGCCACGAATCTGATATTTCCACGTTTTTTTTTCTGTGTGATTACTCATACACATAAGCTCAGTAAATCATCATTTGAACAGGAACAACTAGATAAAACAGTTCTGAAACCCTCTTGACTTCTAGTCTTATTGTTTTTCTTTTTGGGATCTGAGTGGCATCTCGATATGCCAGACATAATAATTTACACTATATGCAAATGAAATGATTAAACAATAACTTTTCTGTAGAGTGTACACATGCATAGATTATTTTAGTCTGTTTGGTGGCATTTAACCCTTTTCTCCACGTCTGGTAATGACCCTGTGTGTTTTTGTTTCAGAAAAAGAACCAAGGGTTGATCATGGTGAATCTCCACAACACATTTGTTTCCTGCAGAGATGAGGCTAACATCTCTCATGTGGCTGGTGAGCTGTCCATCTGGAATGGATGTGTTTTAAATGTGCGGTTTGTATTTCTTATATCTCAGTTTATACATTATTCCACTTATTTTCACAGACCATTTTGATTACATTAGGAAATTGATTGGAGCTGAATCAATAGGAATTGGAGGGGATTATGAAGGTGCTACAAGGTAAGAAATCTATTTGCAATAACCAGATAACACAAATTATTAGCTAAACAGGTAATTGTTTGTTTGTAATTGTTGTGGTAAATGTTGCAAACAGAAGATCCATGCAAGTTACCTTAAATCTTCTTTATATTCTATAGTCATGATGAATCCAAAGCTTTTGAGACAAAACAAAGCTAATACTAATAGGCAACACGCTTGTCTGAGGCACTCTCCAGACAGATTATTTCAAAGGCTGTTGTTGAGCCAAATCAATTGTGTGGTTTTTGTTTGCTTGTCATGATATCAGCAATTTAGCTGTCCAGTTGTCAAGAGACTGAAGTGGGTTAAAAATCAATAACTTTATACCTCCAATAGGCATAAATGGAAGGCTGCTATGCTGCGGTAGATTTTCTGCAAGATGGTGGATATTAGGTTATTTCTATGCATACAGAGGGGTGACAAATTTAAGGAAAGTCAGAATCAGAACTTTTAAAGCCTACAGTGAGAGGATGCAGTGACTCTGTTGTGCTGCTGTGTGCAAAGTGCGCAAAGTCCTCTTAAACGGAATTGTCTTAAACAATCAGTATCAGGTTGTTTTGTGATGAAACAAAAGAAAAAAGAAAACAAAGCTCATTATTGAATACTGCAATTAATATAAAAAAGCCATGAATCATCTTTTGTTCCAGCCTGTTACAGCAAACTTTAAATAAAGGAATATAATAAAGGTTAAAATTCTTCCTGACCCATTGACTTGCAGAGTTGATGCCAAGGCTCTTCTTGCAGAATTCTTCAGCCCAAAATCTTATTAGAACTGAGAATAAAACAAATCAAGTTTCTGTGTTTACTTTTGTAATTCCATGTGTCAAAGGTATGAAACTAAATGTATTTAGCAACACCATAATTTTCAGAATGAGGGATCTGTTTCTACAATGGTTTGCCTAAAAATAATAATTAGAGAGTAATTTTGTTTTCATTTTGGTTAAAAGCTTCCCTCATGGGTTAGAGGATGTCTCAAAATACCCAGCCCTAATCCAGGAACTGCTGAGAAGAAACTGGACTGAGAATGAGCTGGCTGGTGTCCTTCGACATAACTTCTTGCGTGTGTTTGAACAGGTTGAGAGGGTGAGCGAGAGAATATTTATATATAATTTATATAACGAGAATAGGTGGTGAAAGATTCATGAGTTTAAGTATTTTATATGTTGGCATACTCTATTTCCTTCCTTTATTTTCACCAAGGTCCGTGATCAGTTGAGTTCAAACCTACCAAGTGAGGTCCAGATTCCATTTGAAGAGGCACACAACCCATGCAGGCTAGTCCTTAGACGTCCAGACCCAAGAAGCCTGCCCTCAGATCAGTCCTCTGGAGCAGAAGGTGGATTACCTGGTCTGTTAATCCTTGCCACAGTTCTGGTGCTTTCCAGAATATTTTTGATTGAATGAATATGAACAATCTCAGTTCAGCCGTATCATTCTTTTGAAGTTGTATAGAAAGGAGTACACAGAAAGGAGTGTCACAGTGCTGCACGTCAGTGGAGATTAGGAGGAATTTAATGACTTTAATGTCTAACCTCATTTTTGCTATAATTAAAATGCAAACTCCTGTACATATGTTAATCGATTAATTAAAAATTCAGAAGAGACCTTCACTATTTATTTTGTTATTTAGTTGGCAGAACATTTTTTTCATGATGTCCATAGAAGATTACAAAATATAATAGAATGATAAAACTGATAAATATAACTTTAGAGATTATACTTTGTATCTAGGATTGACTAGGAAAGAGCTTAGAAGCTGAGGTTGTCTACTTAAGTTTATAATGTTTCAAGCACTTTAACAAAGTTGTACAGAATATCAGTTTCAAAGCAAATATTTGTTCTATTTACTCTCATAGCATAAGACAACATTATGGTTTTACGCCATTCATGTAGCCTTGTTGCTCACAACCCAATGGCAATAAATTTGATAAGTATCTGCTTTGGTGTGCTCACTTGAGGTGGTGATGTTGATCTTCGTGTAATCATAGGATTGGACTTGGTAGTTTTATTGCTTCTTAAAAACCTATAGTTATGAATGAAATAAAATACGACTCTATTAAAGTTCCTATTGAAGTAGTGGACTGTGCCAGAAATACAGTGACCAAAAAAAAGAGAAACAAAAACAAAAAATACATATTTAGTTTACTGCAATTAACAATGGTTTAAATAGCATAAATAAATTTGAACCAGGAATGCTGTTCTGACATTGAGTGTTTAATAGTTGCACACTTGTCATACTTTCCATAAGACACACCCTTGCCTTTAAAAAGACTATTTAGTCAACACAAAAAATATAGTCGTTCCAGGCACTACACCCTGATCTAAAATACTGATTATCTTCAGTTTCTCAGGTAAAACATACACAAAACAAAGTCTAAAAACACATTCAGATTCTAGATTAGATTAATTTAAAGATGTAATCCTTGTAGAGTTTCAGTCCTAGTTGAATTAGTGATGCCTGTGGTAATATAAACTATTAGAAGCTACAAAATAGTGTGTGTGTATATGTAGTCTGAAAATTACAATCCAGTGCAAAAAAAGAAGACTTCCACACTAATAGGTATAGATTTGATACAGATAGCCATTGTTTTATAAAATGGATTTAGAGTGGCAATTACAGAAAAAGTCAACTATAAATAATATGAGTAGATTTAAAAAAAAAAAAATTAAACCATAAGGATTCCAACTTTAAATTAAAGCATCTTTTTTATAAACATGTAAGCTTATCAGTATACATGCAACAGTTTAAAGGTCATGTTCATGAACACTTTGACTCATATCTTAAAAAAATACAAATTCTTACTCTTTTTAAAATCTTGCTTTATAATGTCCATCATCCAGATTTACAATCTAGATTGTAAGCCACCTGTACAATACACAAAATATCCATCGCTTTGTTCGATACCCACAGTAACATTTTCTTTATTCTCATCGGGGAAATGTTTAGAAAATAAATAAATAAATATTTGTGTTTCCCTAAAATAATCAGAGAATTGTTTCAGAATAATAATCTGGCATCCTATTAATACTGTTCTAACAAAATGTGTAATACTCAGTACATTCCTGCCTATCAAATTGCCAAATATAGCTTTAATATCATGTACAAGAGGTACAGAATCAGTACCTTAAAAAATAAGAACAAATACCCAAAAGTTTGTTTCTGACGAGTTTTGAAATAAAAAGAGCATAAATGACAGCTTTCATTTATAAAAGAATGAACAAACAGGATGATATGTATTCAAAAGTGTCCCAATATTCTACAAGAATAGAATGAACCTCTTTTTATAATCAAAAGTTCATAAAAAAATTATTAAATTTATGCATCTACGCATAATTGTCTGCAGGCAAATTGGTTGCCACCTTTTGAGCAGAGGTGGAATTTATTCTGATGAGGTCAGTGCCCTCGTATAGCAGCTCTTATTTAGTCATGAGTAGATAGTAATAACTTCCCGCCCTCCACCTCTCACCAGAAGCACCCTTTCCAAACCTTCAGTCAGCACCTCCAGAAACTCCATGTCTGAGGTACCGTTAAAGAAACTACACCAATTAGACAAAAGCTATACATTCTGTATACACACTACAACCCAAAACAGCATTTTTAATTTCAGTGGCAAAGGATACAGTTCTCATCTCCGTCTGTGTTTCGGGGTGGTCCTGGCATGTTGAGCAGTACTAATCGAGCGTCATGGGATCTGTTTACTATTACTTCGTTCAGCTTCACAGCTGTATGCATTCTCCGCACATTGGACTGATCCCTGGAATGTAGCAATGGAGATAGTTTGATTTGTGCCTCTAAAAGGTTTTCACTCAGACACACAGAGAAGTAATAGATAAAGTTTCAACGTGCGTGCTTTTACTGGTTAAAAGTAAAATGGTTTAATCATTCTAGAAGAAGCTGAAGGTAACTTAATCGGACTTAGTCGGACTCACGGTTTGAGGCTTATGAGCTCTCTAAAGTTCTCAGGTGCATTGTTTTTGTTCCTCCTCTCAGCCTCACACTTCTCTCGAGTCCATGTCATCTGAAGCTTCTCTGGAGGAGCTTCCACAATCTCCTCCTCCTCATCTGAGTACAGACTCCCCATACGCACCAAGGAGTGTCTGTCTTTAACAAGCTGAGCCTTGGGATTCCATAGGAGTCAAATGAGGTTTTATTTTGTCACTATTAAGCTTAAACTTGAAAAATGCATATATTTCACAAATATAACTTTCCGGAGTTTAACAAGGTTCAAAACAACCCTACCTCTCTCTGTCTTTCTGCACTGGAAAGCCTCATTTGCCTCAGCATTTGGGACCTCTGCTCCATCATTAATGTTCGTTCATAGGTGTATGCTGAAATGTCACTATCATGCTGGAATGACATTTGGGGAAGGGGGGGAGTAATGTTAATGGATATAGTAAATGAAAAATAGGGAGTTTGGAAGTGCAAACAAATTCATTCATGGTGTTCTGTTATCTGAAATATTAAGTTAAGCACTAGTTTGTTCCAGCTTTTCATTTTTCTTCACGTACAGGTTGGTGGAGCCTTATAGTAAGCAACAAACAAGATGCTTTCAGTTTAACCTGACGTCATACACAACTGGTTTGAGATTTTTTGTTAAATGACCAAGTCACTAACATCTTTTTTTAATCCAAAGCATAAGAATTCCTTTTCTTTTTTTTTTCAAAATTAGTTGTATATGTGGGACTCACCATCTCCACCACTTCCACCTCAGCTTCTATTCTCAGCTGATAAAGAAAAGTAGCCAGATCTTTCTTCATCTGGATGCTATTGTCATCCATCTGGGCTACAGTAAAGATGCGCATCTTGCACTTCCTCCAGACCTAAATTACAAATAAAGTCTTGAGATATCGCAACGATAACACACTGTGTAATAAATAAATGATTTAAAAAAAAGAAACCTCAGTTTTAAAGACAATTCCTAGAACAGCATATAAAGTCAAACTTAACAAAGGCGGGTTAAAGAAAAGGAGTTATTTAAACAGATTATTATTTAATCGTGTTTTTGATGAAAAGTGAAACATTTAAGCTCAGAATTAACATGAATTTAAAAAAAAAAACAAAACCTCACATATATGTAATACTTTCATCTCACCTTATGCTGTTTAAGCAAGAAAGGCAGCAGCATTAACATCCCCCCATCATGGACAATCCACCACACATCAATGTTGCCATCTGTGAAACGTTCATGGTTGCTTGGATAGAAGGACACATTTTTGGGCACCATCAGGGCCAGCTGTGCAGCTGTCGTGCAGCGAACCGTGTCTGGGTTTGGATGAAAATGTGCAGGCTAAGATATTTACACAAATCACATAGTGTAAAACGTATACTGGATACAGATAATGCAAACAAATGAGTGGCTGACTAGATATATCAATCCAACTGAAACCCACGGTTAAGCATCCACAATGTATATTTACAAGTTAGAGTAGCTTTATTATAGAGGTTTGTAGATTGTCTAAAACATAATCTGGGCAAGCAGCCATCACTGGGGACCCCGCTGAATTTGTGATGTTTCATTTTCTTAAGATTCTTACTTATAAAAGTCTTCCAGGCTCGAGGGTCCTCACTCTGTCTCCAGCCATATGGCCATCCCATTACGACAGTGTTGTGCTTCATACCACCCAGACCACATGACTGGATCAAATGGACAATGCCCTCCCGTACCTTAGATGCAACCACAACCTGGCAGAAGCCTTTGACCCGCTCAATTTCCATCATATTCTTGATAGCCTGGGAGGGGAAAAGAAATATGTGGAAAGACTGAATAGTAGTTCTTTATAAAAAAATATATATATATATATATAAGTTTTACATTGGTAAACTACACCTAGTAGACCTACATAATAATCACTGAAGAAAATAGATAATTAGTTATAGAAATGGAATCACAGATCACAGAGAATGATAATGAAGCTATTCATCAGATAAATTAAATGCATGTGTTTGCCTCCCTGCTCAGTATCCACAGTATCCATCCTAATGAAAAACATATGAATAACCTCAGCATTTAGTGAACAGAAGATGTGCTGTTTCAGTATTTTCTTGCAACATAGCCAACAGAAAACCTGATTCTGTTGTTATATTCTCTGGGGGAGTCATACCAGTCATATCACATTAGGAAAAATCTTACAGCACTGCCCTTTATTTTGTCTGAAATGGCTCATTGGTCGTTAGACCGCTAACAACAAGCAGTTTGCTGCCATACCCTTTGAATAACATCACAAAGGCATTAAAAAATAATGATAAAGCAATCACCGCTGAAGCATTTCTATGCTTCATTGTGTTTTTCAAATTACAAAGGGTGTTCATTTGTAACAATCAGCCGCTTTCTCGGCAGCACAGTATAATAGAAAACAATAGAGTGCTCCATGCATCCCTTTCACGCGTCTACCTGCTCAGCTGCCTGCATTTCTCCATAGCTGTCCAGGAAGTTACCGTGGATAACAGAGCCCACAATGGTCAAGCCTTTTCCTGCTTTCAGCTGCGAGGCAAAGGTGAGCAGTCGGGGATATTTTACATGGAGGTCCTCATCTAGTTTCAACAGCACCAACAGTTGAGGTCTGCAATGCGGAAAGTCATAGATTATATGAGAATGCATCCTCTCCATTTGCAATGTACAAAGTAGTAAATAGCAAATGGAGAAATTCTAATTCAGTGCTGCAACTCTGACCAAAATAAGGACATCACGAATACGCTCATGACAATGAACTATGACTCACCATAAACAAGGAATGATGAAAGAGTGGGCTGTGACTTTGTACTTATTAATTACAAACTGTAGGATTGTTGTTTAACTACTGAACCACCAGTGTTCCAGTTATTTAGACCCATATCATATTTGTTTCAGTATGAATTAGGTCCTATCGAAATACTGAAGTCTTAGGACTGATTTCCATATTGACCAGAATTATTCAAAGTATTACGTGAATACCAAAAGTTTGCCCAGTTACCTAGATATTTTTGATTTTGCTTATTAGGCTATCATCTTTACATTTAATCTAACTATTGCCTTGATTGAATTGTTTTCTGCAGATAGTGACTTGTTTTTTCTTTCATTGTGACAGGAAGTTCAGACTTAGTGTGGCAATATCAGTGTGGCAAGCTAACTTACTGAAACTGCCAAGCAGTCACGCTATCAACTAAAAACAAGGAAAAAAAAAAAAAACTCTGACCAAAACTTCTATAACATTGGTTGTGCATATACTTTAAACTTAATACTCAATGAATATGTTGTGCTGTTACGAGGAACCAGTACCAATGTCAGCTATTTGCTTGTGGTCAGTGGATTGCAGGATGTTGGGTGCTGCTTTGTTTATTGTGTGTACATTCTTCTCATGAGTAAACACACATGTGGAAACTTTTATGTCCCAGCATGCAGCATGTTCCTCGAAAATGGGATCCAAATGTTAGTATCTAAAGGGAAACAGTCAATGCTGGTGTTGAAGTGTAGCAATACCTCCAGTTCTTTGTGTGTGGTGGTCCAGCCTCTAGTCTTAGTAGGGCATAGCGTGCAGCGCTAAGAGAGAGTCCTCTTATGCCATCTCCCCACTCCTTCTCTGCTCTGTTTTTGTTTAAGAGAGGAAAAAAGTCATAGCAATGCGAGACAGATGAAATAATTAGTTGTCAAATGATATTTACTACTTATATGCAAAGGTCACATGGAAAAACAACCACCACAACAAACCACATGAGAATTTATAATTGTAGGATAGTAACATCAAAACAGTGTCAAGTGAATTCCAGACGTACCCCTGGTACTCAATGTACTTATAGATCATCCCAGCAATGCCCATGGCCACAATGGCATAGTACCAGGAGGAGATGAACATCAGAGCAAGACACATACTCATGCCCAGGAATGACAGAGCCCTGTTAGTATGATACATAAAAGCTGAAATTATTTTTTTGCATGATAACGTAGGTGCCACTGGTTCTCATGTGTCACCAATAAAACTATACAGGGTGCAAAACTAGTAAAATTCATCATAAAACATAAATATGGAACACATTTACTTACCAGTGGTAATATTTGAACCTTGGCCTCCAGTTTGGTGTGCGTAAAAGAGTTTGCACTGCACAGGCTAAGTTCACAAAGAGATAGCACATCAAGAAGAACCTGTTAAAAGGGCACAAAATAAAACATGTAAAGTAGATAATATAGTAGAGCACCACAGAGAGGAAATTTGATGGCTGAGATAAGTAAAGTGATAAAAGATTTTAACAAAAAGACAAAAGATATATTTTATGGTTCTGATGAAAGAGAAAGGCCTGTTTGTGGAATATATGCTCAATATTTTACAATATCATATATGTGAGCTTACATGGAAAGGATAGGAGCCACCATGTCCAGAGAGGCAATAAGGATCCCCAGCTCAGCGATAAGCCCAGTCAGCAGCAGTGCCCACGTAGGCTCCCCATTTGTCTTACCATGACCAAACACCTAAAAAAAAAAAAAAAAAATTCAAATAGTTCGCATAAAGCAATGCAAATGTCTTCGTGCTTCATACTGTTTTATATTCAAACAATCCTGTAAATAAGATATTACCTGATGCAAATAAGTATTGGGAAGTTACCGCAATTATTCAAATATTTCAGGGGGAAAACAAAACAAAAACCCCAAAAGAAGGAAAAAAATGAAAATTGGATTAACCTATTTTCTTATTATACTGTATATGTACAGAGGCTATTTCTGTTTTGCAGAGTTACTTTAATGTTTTTCCCCTACAGAAATAGCTGTTGAACCACATCAAAGCTGTGCTGTCCTACCCTCAGGAAGGGAATGATGTTGTCCTTTGCAATGGCTTGTAGAAGTCGCGGAGCTCCTGTGAGAGACTGCAGGCCTGCTCCAACAGTAGAGAAGAAGGAGCCAATAACAATGACCCATGGAGATGGCCAGGCTAGAGTTCCCACCACCAAATTTTTTTTAACTGCATCCCCAAACCTGCAAGTACAAGCTTATTGAATAAATATCTAACTACTATATGTATATTTATTTATTTCCAATTGTGAAACCGTACCATTTACAGTGAGTGTTGTAATAGTAAAGTGATTATAATTGCAAAAATAAACTTACTTGTCCCTAAGGACTACTCCTTCAATGCATGAGCCAAATAGGACCACAGAACTAAAATCTGATTACCATAAGTTAAGGATCTCGAAGTAAAACCAATGTGCATTGCATACCTGCTTTTCAGTCAACTTTAAATTGCAAAAATAAACATTGGGAGTTTGTATTCGCCAGAAGTGAGGATACAAACAAGTGAAGTGGTGGTAATGGCTAAGATAGTTCCCACAGGGATAGACTTCTGAGCATCTTTGAGATCACCAGATCTGTTGGAGCCTGCCATGATACCTGCAATACGAATGGACCACAGATAAAAACAACACAAATTTTAAAACTGTTAAACAATGCCCCCTACTGTCTGTAGGGAGCATTGTACCATCTCCACACAATTTGACTATTCATGTGTTACTTTCGAAATGAGAACATGAAAGGTAGCATAAAATTACAAAATGCATATTAATGCTTTAAACTCTAACGAACTTTCATATAATTGCACACTCAAGCTATTGTCACAACCATGTCATGTCAAAGTTAGATTGTCAGCTTTATCATACTGTCCTACCTGTGGCAGATGGAAAGAAGATCCCCACCAGAAGTGTGAATGATGTAGCAATATCTGCTGACACATACATGCCAAAGTTCTCCAGAGCCCCATGGGCATTCACAGACTGTAGCCCGGCCTTCTCCAAGAGCTCTCCTTTCTCTAGGTAGTTTCCCCACATGTTGTCTATAGGATGAAAAAAAAGATAGATTTAATGTTTAGACAGAACTTAAAATTGGGCTTTCATAAACTTCAACGCCTCAGTGCCATTGAAAAGAAAACTTCCTGATATCACATTTATCTCTTTGTAACGTAAGACTACATGAGATTACATTAAGAAAACACTAGGGCAGCTTATTTTCTACTAACTTGTATGCTTCATGCCACCTCAAGGGCAGCCTACTCTTAAAAATGCAGCATACCAAATACTAATACCTTGTCAGTTTTTACCTCTAATAATTCCACTGCCAAGTCCAGGGATGCCCTGTATCTCTGTCACATTGTTCTGGATAAAGTAGTCATCGCAATGAGCACTGCTCATGTTCCCTGGTAGGCAAAACTTATCCCACAGCTGACTGGGCACTGTGATGTTGCCCTTTATTATAGTTTTAGCACAGACGTCGAAGCGATCTCTGACCAAAGTCCTGTTGCCCAACATGCAGATCCTACAACAAGACCATGGACAAAAGATGAAAATATCAACGTTATGCATCAGTATAACATAAAACATATCAGCTGCATTAGTATAACCATCTATTAAACTCATGCTAATTTTGTCACCATTTATTTTAGGAATGATCACCTCAAATTGACTTCGATAAGCCTGTTTAGGCATTATTTAAACATATTTCTCACCATGTTTTGTTAAGACATGTTTATTTTACTATGACTTACGGGAATTCGGGTGGGTGAGTCACAGATTTGATTGCCCCAGCATAAATCGCGACAATTGAGATAATGACACAGGCCAGAAAAAGAGAGGCCAACTTGTTGACATATTTGACTCCTACAAAAACGACCACAGCCATAAGGCTGAGGCATAAAGAGCCATAAACTCTCATGTTGTTCAGCATGGCACTGTCACTCCTATGGGGCTCCGTGTCATGAAAGATGGCTGCCTGGGGAACCAGATATTTCTAGAAAGGAAAAACAAATACAATAAAAATCATAGCAGGATATAAACCCTATACAGTATAAAACCCATACTATGCAACTAATAAACCATATCTAGAACTATATTTTACTATACAAATGTGAGCTTGAATGCAACAGGAGAATATCATTTTGGCAAACTGACCAAGAAGATTTCGATGGCCCCCAGTATGTACATGGCAGAAGCAAAGGTAGTGCCCAAGTAGAAACACAGCCCCACAGCTCCTCCAAATTCAGGACCAAGTGAGCGTGAGATCATGAAGTAAGCTCCCCCAGCTATACACAAAAGACATCAACACAAAAATTCACTGGAAATTTCTCTCATTTTCTTTTTTGAGCACCCAGCAGATTATACAGTAAATGCCAATGTGCAATTTTAATTAACTGGCAAAATAATCTACACATATTTAAAACGGATAAAAAAAATAATATAGAATAAAATTAAAGAAACCTTTACACTTAACTGAAGAGAATAAAGAAGTTCTAAGTGTTACCTGGAACAACTCCATTAGTAGCAATGGCACTCATAGATATGGCTGTCAGCATAGTCTAAAAAACAAAAGAGAAAAGAAAATAAACATATGCAGACACCACCGCAACTTCTCTTTCTTGGGTATAATGTTAACATCTGCAGATCTAACCGATAGCTAAAGAAAAGTCTTGGTATTCATCTAGTCCTACAAAGATCAGAATATGTAACTTAGAACATGGACAGTATTTGTTGAGACAAGAAGGTGGGGGCATGGTGAGCAGAAAAAAACAGTTTAGTTTTGAATAATTGCTGCAGTTTTACGTAATCCAACATTTGAATTTGATTGACTGGTTTAGCGACAAAACATTGGCTAATATCCCACATTGGTCAGAGAACTAAGCAGGTTTTATTTTGCGTGTATATCTGGGTATAGTGTGCTTGTGCATACTAACACATGAACAGCACATAAGGACAATCAAGAGGGACTGTACGATGCCAGCCATCCCGACAATCCATGTCAGTCGGAGAAAGAGAATAACGCCAAAGATGTTCTGGAGACACGGTAAGTAGACTCCCATCAGAGTGCCCATGTTGGGAGACTGAGAGGTGGGGGAGAAGGAGAAAGAGAGAGAGAGAGAGAGAGAGAGAGAGAGAGAGAGAGAGAGAGAGAGAGAGAGAGAGAATGACATATCAAGAAACAGGAGTATAGATCAATAGTATTGATTGATGTACTTTTTAAAGGTCATTC